CTGGCAGACACCCCTTCCCCCAGCCAGGGGGCGTGTTCTGGCGCCTGGCCCAGAGGCCTCAGATCCCTGGTGGGCGGGAGGCCGGCGGGGCCGGCATTGGGTCCCCCCCACCCCGGGGATGCTGGTGGTCTCGGGGTGCGGGGAGCCGAGGCAGAGCCTCCACCCAGCCCCTGAACCCGGGGCCTGTCGCCTCCCAAAACACCTCTTTCTCCCTAAAGAGCAGTCGTGGTGAGACTCTCGGGCCCCCGGGCTGGACTCTTGCTTGCAAGGAACCTTGGGGTTCTCCAAGGAGAACTCGGGTAGGTGTTGGGGTCAGGCTGTTTTGGAGCAGAACCTAGTCTGCTCATCTCCCTCTTGGTGGTCCCGTTTGGTTGGGCACAGCCTGCGAGAAGGCAGTGGCTGCTTTTTCCTGAGGCTGCTTTTGTTCTGAAGCTGGATTGTGGAGGTCTGTATGGGTAGTGAAGAGCCTTCAGGCCCCCCTGGCCCCTGGAAGCGCCTTCTGAAAGCTTGGCTCCAGCATGGCCAGCCTCGGAGTCAGGGACGCTTTTGAAGAATGGGCGGCCAGTTTGGGGTCTTTGTGTCCTATTCTGGGGCTGCAGGGAGCCAGGGACAACTCCTCTTGATTTCCTGCCTCTTTGCCCTCCCAGGCCTGTGCAGGGCTGCTTTTGCACCGGTCTCAGTGGGAGGAGGGAGTGGGGAGATTTTGAAAAATCGCAGATCTGTCAGAGCATTATTCCACTTAGTGCATGCCTGTGCTGTGGCCCGATGGGCACCCAGCTCTGTTCTCCGCTCCCCGCCTCCAGGTGTGAGAGATGATGTGTCTGCAGCCCTGTGCTGTGGGTTGCTTCCTGCAAGTTTCCCCTGTGCGCCCCCCACCCCCACCCCCACTAGTGTTAGAGGGAGCCAGGCTCAGAACTAGGTCCATGTGGAGGAGGGTGATCAGGAAGTGACACCCCCAGGGGAAGGTCCTGCAGACCTCCTTGGGTATGGCGTGTGTGCTCAGAGAGGGGTGAGGGGATGGGGAGGAAGGAAATCTTGTGGTGAGGCAGCCATCCTCAGCTACAAACTCCAGATCTGATACAGCTGCTGAACTTAGAAACGGCAGCCGCCTTCCCACATGCCCCCATGGGTCCTGTCAGCCACTGGGTGAAAATGTTAGTGATTTGAGAGACAGGATTTTAAAGTGGAGAAAGGACCGACATTGCTGAGGATTGAGATAGTTCTGGGAGCATCACCTAGGTGTCAGACTCTAGGCACAGCCCCTTCCTTGCTTCTGTGGTGCTCCCTGTGAATTTGTGGCACTGGCTGGAGGTTCCCAGATAGAGATCTCCTGGGTAACAGGCTGCATTTTAACCATTCATGTGACCAGCAGGCAATAAAGGCAGCACTAATTGAAGGCTTTGAAGCCCACAGTTTACTTGTGTGGCACCCCCTCCCTTATCTTCTCTGAGCCTTAATTTTCATCATCTTTAAAATGGGAGTAATAATATATCCAATATATATACTGTATGGTTGCTATGAAGATTAAATGAGAAAATTTATGTGAAACATTTAGCACAGTGTCTGACACATGAACGTTTAATAAATGTGAACTGTTATTAATAACAATAGATTATGACTGTCCAACCCTGACTGTGAATGTTGTAGAGGTGGAATGTGGCTGTAGGAGAGGGTGAGGGTGCAGGAAGAGCAGAGAGGATGGGGACCAGACCGAGTTAACATTTCACTTAGATCACTGCCCAACCTCTGGCCGGGTTGGAGTGTCATTCTGTGCACCAAAAGGTGGTGGGTTCAATTCCTGGTCAGGGCATATACCCAGTCGGGCGCATACGGGAGGCAACAAATTGATGTTTCTCTCTCACAATAATGTTTCTCTCTCCCTTTTTTCTCTCTATAAACTCAATTTTAAAAAAACAAAACATATCCTCTGGTGAGGATTAAAAAAAATTTTTTTTAGGTCACTACCTGGAAAAGGGGAAGAAATGTTTTTCTGTTGTTGTTGTTTTTGGTGTGGTTTTTTTTGTTGTTGTTTGTTTTTTTTTTTGCTCCAACCCACTAACTCACCCACCCTCCTACCGTGTAGAACAGTGCGTAGAATAAGTATATGGAGATTTGCACATCTGATGCCTGACTTCTTGTTTGTAAGTTGGGTTCTGAGCAGAAGTAAGTGGTGTGTAAAGGCAAGAGCCTAGTCCAGCCGTGGGCAAACTACGGCCCGCGGGCTGGATCTGGCCTGTTTGAAATGAATAAAACTAAAAAAAAAAAAGGACCGTACCCTTTTATGTAATGATGTTTAATTTGAATTTATATCAGTTCACACAAACACTCCATCCATGCTTTTGTTCCGGCCCTCTAGTCCAGTTTAAGAACCCATTGTGGCCCTTGAGTCAAAAAGTTTGCCCACCCCTGGCCTAGTCCATGGTGTCTCAGGTCTTTGAGGGATGGAGGGAGGAATGCTGAGAACCTGATAACCCTAGCCCCTGAGGATGGGTCAGCCAGATCTCATTAAGTAGCTGGGATTTGAGAGGCCTGGAGCAAAGGTAAAAGACAGAGAAGGGGCCCTGGCCATTTGACTTTGGAGACCCGGACTGAATGAGTCTGGGTAAAAAGACTAGTAGACACTTGTGTGGAGTTCAGATCTTGTAAATGGAGCCCCCTACTAAAGCTGGCCCACTTCTGCCCATTCATGGGTGCACCTCATTGATGGGTTCTGATCCCTGCAGCCCCGCTCTGTGGACTCTGGGGAAGGTTGGGCTGCCAGCTGGGTCCCCTGCCACCTGGCCTCTTGCCTGTGCCTCAGGTGTCTGGCCTTTTCCTGCTGGCCTTGCCAAGATACCATGCAGTGCCTGTAGCTGGGCCAGAGAGAGAGAGAGAGACATTTGTTACCCTCGGGTGTCCTTGGCCCTAAAGGAACAATGCTGTGGTTCAGGGAAGTGCACAGCACTCATGTAGACCTCCTTCTGGCCTAGCAGTGCCCTCTCACTTCGCCACTTGTGAAGTAGGGCTGGTTTTTAGGGTGGTAGTTTGGCCCTAAAGAGGGGTGAGAAGTGCTTTGGTGCCAGTTGTCATGGTGGTATGACAGGAACCAGGGTGATGTTTATACTTTTTTTTTTCCAGATACTGACATAAGTGAATACAAAGCAGTTACAGACTTCCTGGTGCAGTTACAGACTGCCTGCTGAGTGCTACAGACACTTTTCATCATGTTTTCTTGGCTAATCCTCACAAGGGCCCTAGGG